CTCTTAAACGAGCGAGGATCAGTTTACGCTGGCGTGATAGGGAAGGGTGCTGTGTGCGGGTGTCAATAGCTGCATGGAGTTCATGTAGCTGAAATCCACAGCTTCTCTTCTCCAGCTTTGAGACGTCATTGACGTCTAACCCACAAGAATACCTTAATCTTAGTTTTATTACAAAATTACCTTTCCCCATCACTGTCTCTTAGAAATAATAAAAAGCAACATTGATTTGATTTTTACTTTTCATTTTTTTCTTTTTAGTTTTTTTCCCCCCTATAAACATATATTGAGTCCTACTGTGTGTCAGGACATGTATAAGCACTGCATATCTAGACGTACACAGGACAAAAATAAGGGCTTTCTGCAACCTTTCGGAATCATAGAAAGACACTAGACCTCAGATTGAAAAAGCACAGCCAATGGCCAGCAAGGTAAATAAAGCGAATTGAAAACTGGAATGATTCTGGTGTAATGACAATGACAGTATGTCCAAAATAAAGAGAAAATCTTAAAAGCCGAGAAAAGACTGCCTACAGAGGGGCGACTGTTCGATTGACATTTCTCAGCAGCAGCAGTCGATCCTGTACCTGTCATTCAAATAAGATGATGAAATAAAGATGTTTTTGGACAAAGACTAGGAGAATTTTTAACCCTCAGACTTTATCTAAAAGAATTACTAAAAGTTGGATTCTAGCAGAAGGAAATTGAACCCAGAAGTAGGTGACAGCGTTACAGAACAATGGCAAAACAAAGAAACGGGCCAAGTTAATGAACTTATGTAATCTAAACAAATGGCTGCCTCTGTGTGTGGATTTGAGTGCAAATGTTTTTGTTTGTTTGTTTTTGTTTTTGTTTGCAAATTGAGTATATAATTACTTAGACTTGGTGCCGATGTCTGAAATTCTCCTGTTTGTGAGGATTCTTTTCACTTCGGGCAGGAGTTTTTAACGAGAGGTCCGTGGGTGGAATTCAAGACATCTATGAACTTCTTAAAATTATAAGTGACATATTTCGTGTGTGTGTAGTATTTCTGCAGACAGGACTCATGGCCTTCATCAGACATTTCAAGGGGCTTAGAACCAGAACAAGTTTAAAAACTACTGGGTTAAGGTACTGTCCTCAAATGAAATTACAAGGATACTTGCTGTGAAGTTGAGATAGAATGACCTAAATTCGAATATTAGATACCTGTTCAATATTTGTAGAACTGTTGAGGCCCTGGACAAATTTTTCTTCACATTTTAGTCTGTCTGTGCGATGCACAACCTGTGTGGCTATACAAAGCAGTGATGTATCTGACCCCTGTGACTCTGTGTCACGATCATAGTCAGTGTTTGATTATAGCTGTCATGATTTTCTAAAGGGAGTCACTGTTGAGATATAAGAAGAAATAAAGCTTGTATGTGACCAGTTTTAGGGTATAATGATAGGTTTAGTGCTATGGTTTTATAAATTGAGCACATGTTTATGTCATATGCTGTCCAAGGTGGGGGGGAGGGGGGCGTGATGGTGGTGGTGGTGGTTTTGTTCAATTATTATCTCTCCCAGTGAAATTTGATACTAAAACAACTCTTAACTGGTGACCATGTGCAGATCGTGTTTTTATAATACAGTCGTACGTGCGTCAGGTGTGTTCATTTTGTGTCATTTTAGTTCCGCTCCTGTGCTGGTTCAGTAGCTATTCATTGAGTGCTCGTGTCAGGCCATTTACTGTGCTAGGCATGGTCATGGATACAGAGTTGAATGTGGTGGTCCCGTCACTGAGGAATAACTTTGACTTAGGATAGAGGGCGGCAGACGGAACCAGATCCTTGGTCCTAGCTTAAGACCTAGTACGGTCAAGAGGAAGCTGTTTCTAAGAGCAGGGTTTTCCCTGCCTGTCGTCGGGGGTGTCACCCTTCAGGTGAGACTAAAAACACACCTTCAGGAGGGCTGTCGTGAAGGCATGGGCTTCCTCAGACACCTCGAACATCAAAATATCTGTTTTGCATGTATAATTAGGATCATAATAACACAATCTGTTTCTAAGGCTGTTATATTTGAAGATAGGTCCGAGCCACTGTCTGGAGCACTCAGATGTCTTCTTCCAAGCCCCAGGCCTCCTTGTGGCTCTGAAGCACCTCTGGGGCACTGGCACGGTGCCCGAGTTCCAGTCCTGCTGGGGAGAAACAGTCCCCAGTTCCATTTCCTCTCTCTGGACAAGGGTAAAGGGCGTCTCTTCGAGGGTGAAGGGAGGTCCTTTGTGAAATGGTTACCAGGGGCGTGGGGAAAGTTAATATACCTCTTAAAATGTGTGTGTGTGTGTGTGTGTGTGTGTGTGTGTGTGTGTGTGTGTATTTTTTTGTTGTTGTTGTTGTTAGTGGAAGTCCTCTTTTTTGTGGATAATATGAGAGATTCTCAGTTTCGATTGAATAAGGTCATAATCTCTTCCTATTTTTATTTAAAAAAAAAGAGAACATCTTTATAGAGCTGAAACAAAGTGATAAGGACAGCTAGAGTTTTGAGATGGGACTTTTGTGGAAAATGCCGAATGTTGGGGAATAATGCAAATTGGTCTCTGGTCTGCCAGCCTCCCTTCCCTAGTTAGTCACAATCATATTAGGGCAATTAGATTACAACTCCAACTTCTGCAAACCCACTTAGGGAGATAGGAAATTCACTTAACAGGATTATACTCTAAATTGTAGATGAAACTTCAGATTAATTGTTTAATAGGTTGGGGTTTTAAATTGAAAGTTTTCCCTGTGTTATTTTATAACTATGTGATTCACTATAAAGATTGGTTTAGAAAGTTTCAAAAATATTGATGTTATTTTATTCTTTTCAGTTAGATTGAGGTTACTATTTTTTTTTTTTTAAATTGACTCTTCTTTGTATCCCTCAAACTGCCACTTTCTTTGCCATTCCTAGTACTAGTTCGGAGAAGATTATTTAACCTAAAAGTAGAATAAAATAAGCCCAGTGTTATTTTATTTTATTTGGAAAAGCTCGAGAAAAAGCACAGTCCATGCAGTCTTTTCTGAAAATAGGAAGCCAAGTGCCGATCCCGTATTTTTATTATCAGGTTACACATACAGTAAAGTAGCTCTATTTGATGAAAACAGTAGCTCTGCTGACGGAATGCTGGTGTATGTGGGGGTGGTGGGGGGTGTGACTCACTGAGTGTGGCACGTGCAGGGGCTTGTGTGGGCAGCAGCGCGATGGACTTGACCGACGGGAGAAGCAGCTGTGCCGTCCCGTCTGCAGAAGGCTCCCCTTGGTCTTTTTCTCTGAAGGATTCCATCACCTGTTCTTTTTCTTAAGCGTCAATAAGCCTTTCACTAGCCCTGAGACAATGAGAGTCACTTGTCGCTGTCTTGTCTGTGGTCCGGGGCCTCTGCCCCCTGTTGGTTACTGCTGTGGTAGGCGACATGTATTGGTTTCGATTCTAGGTCTTGTGTGCCTGTGACCGAGGGTCAGCTCTTCAGCTTCGTCACTGCCGTGGCTCAGGGAGTGCCCTAAGTGGAAGATCTGGTGGCTTTAATTTGCCTCTTGGGGCTCTTGGTGAATCCCACCTGGGACACTCACATCATTCATTCAGCACACATTGGAGTGTCTTGTGCCGGGCACTGTCCTAGGTGTGTGTGACGGATACGCATAAACCGCAAAAATCACTGTGCTCCTGGAGTTTACATCGGCTCCTTGGTGACTTTCAGTTGCCTCTGGAGTGTGTGTGTGTGTGGTGGTGGGGGGAGGGGATCATTTCCTAAGTCATGAAAATGTATTCATACACTCGACCTTTTTTTTTAAGCTTCTAATTTAGCATAACAGATGAATATGACTGACTGTCCTGGGGGAATTTGTAAGAGAGACAGACAGACGGCAAAACACGTAAACGCTTTGCTCCTTTGCCACCCAGCAGGGCCGGATCCCTGCTATAACGAGGCAGAAGCAATGGCTCACAGTAAAGGCAGTGGATGGAGGGTGACTCTTCGACTGGGGCCTGATTTTTATGACAGCTTAGCCTTGTGGCATCCTGCGAGTGCTTGGGCGTGTCTGGCTGTGGCATGGGGACATAGGTTTGGCAGGCCATGAGGGCAGAGGGAGGGGGTGGGCAAGGCCAAGCATTGGGAAGCCTTGACTATAGGCTAGAGTGTTCTGTAAGCAGAGAAGTCAGTGAGTTTCACAGATGGCAGTGACATGACTTACCCTCTGTTTGAAGAGAGTAACTGATGGCAGTGTGTGGGATGCGGTGACAGCACGAGCTTCGGGGTGGGCAGGGAGACCTGCTGAGTGATTTTTCCCTCACTTATTATTCATTCAGCGTCTCCTTAGATGGGGTTTCCTTGTATTTATATGTATAAGCAATTAGCCGGTCTCCAATGCTATTTTAAGAAGATTGGAACCAATTTAATGCCCTAACTCATTTTTCAAGCTCGAAGTTCACATTTTTGTTTCTTTCTGCGGAATGAATGAAAGATACGTGTGCCGATGACTTTGCAGGGAGCCCCTTTGCGGGGAAGTGTGTGGCCATCACAGTCCCTTCTGCCGTTTCTCTCGCCGTCCGCTTCGCTGGTCAGTGGGGTGTAAACATGCAGCTATCTGCTCTGCTGCGAGCACAGATCGATACCATTCTCACAAGAGATAGGTGATTCAAGACTTCATTCAGAGAAAACTGACGTCATTTATGTTTCATGATAAGAGCCTCAGAGAAAAACCGGAAGAAATATAATGAGTCATCTTGACAAAACGCTTCCACCACTGTGAAGGAGCCAGACCACTTCTCCTGGTCAAGGAACGTTACTGCGTTTTAAACATGTGGTGCTGGTTATTCGGTGTCCTTTATTTTTTTTTTTTTTAGGTAGGAAATGATGTTCTTTGGACTGAGTTAAATGCTGCTCAGCATAAAAGGCGTGGTATGGAACGAAGCCTGCGACTCATCGGCACGCACTGGGCTAATGAGAAGACAGTGTCTCTAATCAACTGCAGAACAAATGCTCACAAACACTCCCCTTCTCTCCTAGGGCTTCCTTCGCTGGACACCTGTCCGGGATCCTCGTCGGGCTAATGTACACTCACGGGCCTCTGAAGAATATCATGGAAGCGTGCGCAGGTACGGAGCGAAACACCTTCGGCATGCCGACAGGTTGGAAGTTCATCCTCGTTTTCGTGGAAACAGAAGCAACCCCAAGTCACTCATGGGTCCGCGCAGGTGTCCCCTCAGCAGTCTCTGTTTAAACCAAGGGGACAAACAGCTGACGGCGGGCCTCACACCACTCCAAAGAGGCCGCAGACCCAAATTTTAAACCTGAGGCTTTCCGTGGGGGACCATTAGCAGTATGTATTTATAGACCCTTGGCACATTAATGCTACTCACAGAAAAACCACAATTTCCTTGAAAATGCAGAGAGCTAAAGCAGGTGTAAAGTAATGCATTATTCTATAATATTCCGTGAATTCATATATTTGGAAGGCAAAGTCAAAAAGAAAAATCCGTACCGAAGTTCAAAGCCAGTATTTTAAAAACTTCAGAATGACTACTAGGTCTTTGGTGGGAGAGACCTGTATTCGTGCATGGCCAAGCCCAGTCTGTTATTGCTGAAAGCTTGGCTCCTCCTTTAAAAAAAAAATTCGTGGTTTTTTTTTTTTTTTTGCTTTTCGTTTCCCTCAAATTGATACTCGATGAAAATACTTTATTTTATTTAGAAATATATGAATTTTTTGACCTCAATTGAAAATCTATACTGGTTATGACTTATAAGGAAACTATTTTGCAAATGCTTGTTTTATAGACTATCCAAATTCCAATATTTCATCTTTTATTCATGGGAAATCTTCTGAGACTATTTTACCTTTTCTTGAACCATAAATAATTTGTTTTCACAGTTTGTGCCGATGGCTGGTATTCTCGAGGACCATATAATATTCATGATATTAGAAAGCTTTCCAGACACTGAGCCGTTGCCTTTTATTAGCCGGTTGTGTTCACTTTCGGATGATTCTTACAGGCCCTGTCGCATCTAAGCAGATTTCCATTTTCTTGCATTTGCTTATTACCGTGTTTCCAGTGTGTGTGCTTGGAGGAGGCAGTACAGCTTCGTTTATTGAAAATTTCAGATTTATTGTATTTTCGATACAACTTAATAATGGAGATCGAGTAATGAACTTTGTTGCCCAATGTTCAGTACCGATAAAGGAAAAGAAATGATTCTTGGGAGTGTAATGTCTCCATTCTTCTACGTGTCTAAAGATGATTAGCAAAGCTTTCTGCTGACATATTACAACATTTAGGCAAATATTTTGTTTTTGAAAAGGATTTTCCCCACAATTATATTTAAAAATCTTAGTTTTCTTTCTCAAGACCTTGCCTCTTTTCTATGGAGATTTATTTTTACATCATTCCATTTTCAAAATACTACAATAGAAAATTAAATGCGAAAAGTTGAAACAAGCGTTCAGTGCTATTTACAAATAGCCTGCAGTCTCTGTGCCTTTTTTTCCGGTGAAGCCGGATAAAGGTCTAGCGTGATCTGAGAACTGAGCTGACACAGGAACCCTGCGGAACGTTACCAAGCTCGTGGAGGCTGCTGTCTGCTAACTCCTGGAGGAGGAGCATCACACGGAAGGTGTGCCCTGCAACTCCTCTTTCTCTCTGTTCATTCAGGAGAGGTGAATCTCCTGTTCTCCTACCCTTTTAAGGACAAGAAAGGGGAAAATCCCTCAGGAAGAGTAAGGAGCATGGCTCTCTTAACAGTCTTGTTGGAGATAAGTTCTGTCTCTAGCCAGAGCATCTCTACTGGTACAGGGGCCTCTATTCCCAAGCTTGGAAGGCAAGGATCACCTCACGTCAACAGGAACCGTTAAAGAACTTCAGAGAATCTAAGTTAGGGTTTCATTGTCCCCCACATGTTTTTTCCCTATTGGGCTAGCCCCAAACAAAAGAGAGTTTATTTTAATAATTGTTTAGAAATCATTCGAAATGACCTTGGACTTTGTTATAAAGAATCTCCCATTCATTGGAAAGATGAGCAGTTAAAGCCTTATGGCTATTCTGTTCCATTGGTCCATGTGTCTGCTTTTACACCGGTATCATACTGTTTTGATTATGATAGCTTCGTAATATAGTTTGAAATCAGGAAGTGTTGCGATGGCTATTATCAAAAAGGCAGGAGATAACAAGTGTTGGTGAGGATGTAGAGAAAAGAGAACCCTGGTATCCTGTTTGGCGGGTATGTAAATTGATACAGCCATTATGGAAAAAGAATACGGAAGTTCTTCAAAAAATTAAAAATAGAACTACCATATGATTCAGCAGTTCTACCTCTGAGTATATGTCCAAAGGAAATCAGTATCTCCAAGAGATATCTGCAGTCCCATGTTCATTACAGTGTTATTCACAATAACCAAGATATGGAAACAACCCAAGTATCTGTTGATGGACGAATGGATAAAGAAAATTTAACACATACACACACACACACACACACACACACACACAGAGGGATATTATTCAGTCATAAAAAAAGAAAATCCTGCTATTCGTGACTAAATAGATGAACCTAGAAGATATTACATTAAGTGAAATAAACTAGACAACAAAACACAAATACAGCATGATCTTACTTATATGTGGAATCTAAAAAAATGGATCTCATAAGACAAGAGAGTAGAACAGTGGTAGCCAGGGGCAGGTATCTGGGGGAAATGGGGAGATGTTGCTTAAAGGGCACAAACTCCCAATTATGAGATGAGTAAGTTCTGAGGATCTAATGAATAGTGTTGTGACTGTAATTAATGCTGTATTCTCTACTTGAAATTTACTAAGAGAGTATATGTTAAGAATTCTCACGCATACACAGAAAAATGGTAACTGTGAGGTGATGAATGTGTTAATTAACTTGATCGTGATAATCATTTCATAATGTATCTGTATATTAAGTCATCATATGTACGGCTTTTAAAAAAATCACATCGTACAACCTAAATATGTACGATTTTTATTTGTCAATATACCTCAATAAAACGGGGGCCGGGAAGACCTATGGCTGCAATTAAATGTTTGCTTCCTTCTTATTCAGGCATGTTTCCTTCCGATATTCATCAGCCAAGACAGCAATACTACTTTAATAATTCAGGTAAGCACTTTGTTTCATTTAATAAATTATAACTTAATTAAGAAATTATAATGACCGCCACTGTAGAGCCACTTTAAGGCAATCTAGTTGATGCCGTTGTAGGGTAGTTCACACGTTGTCTAATTGTGCCACTAAGGTGCCTCAGAGCTGGATGGAGGGTAGCCCAGGGAGCGTATTCGGGTGGGTTGATAGGGAAGGCCACAGAAGGAGAGAACTCTGACATGGAAATGTTGTATGGCTAGTGTCAGGTCTCTCCAATGTGATAAGATTCATACTTGACCTAGGGCCCTTCATTCTAAGCCTAAGAGAACGTACTGCTGGCTACGTTATTAGAAGTTAGTTTCAGATTCACAGTTCTCCCTAGTCCACCCTGACTATGTTCAAGAAGAATCACGCTTATCCTAAGAGACTAAAATGGGCACTGCTCTAATAGCTAATAGTGGCTTTCTAGATGTCTGTGTAAATAGGTAGAAAAGACTTCCCATTAAAGCCTGTGACCCGTTTTAGGCTAAGGCCCTTACATTCCAGAGGCTGCACTGTGATATCCTGGACCAGTGCCAGCAGACATGTATTAAAGAAGGCGTAGGCTACAGAAGCACTGGGTGTCTTTTATAGTTGTGCCACTGGAGAATCATCGTTGCTTAAATCTGGGGTCTGCAGTCTTTTACGTAAAGGGCCAGATAGCTTATGTTTTAGATTCTAAGGGCATTGTTGGCCATATGGTCTCTGTCACAACCAGTCACCCTGTCATTGTGGCATGAAAGCAGCCATAGAGGATTCACAAACAAATAGGCGTAGCTGTATTCTAATAAAATCTTATTTGCAAAAGTAGGCAGTGGGTTGGCTCTGGACCACAAGTTGTAGTTTTTTGACCCCTGGTTTATAGCCTCCTCATTATATTATATTCATTATATTCATGCTTTTCTTTAAATCATGAGCATGGTCTTAAAAACTCTTAAAATCCCCGACTGCTAATTCTGTCCTTTCTCTATGTATATTTTTGTTGCATCTCTCTCATTAGACAATTTTTTGTTGCCTGGTTGTGGATCACAGTTTTTGCGTATCTCATACGATGTTTTTGAATGCCAGACATTATGTATTTTGCGGTGTCCAATTCCGAGTTTATCTTCTTTTAAAGAAAACTGGACTGTGTTCTGGCACACAGTTACATCTCTTGATGATTAGTTTGATCCTTCTGGGGCTTCTTTTTAAATCTTTGGGTGGATCTAAAGAAACTTTCATTCCAGGGTTGATTCTGCACTCCTACTGGGTGCTGCTCCTCTGAGATCCTCCTGAATGCCCTTTGTTCATCGAGATCTCTCTACTCCAGCTGCTTGGGATGCAAAGGTGTCCCAGCCCTGCCTGAGCTCTGGGAACTGTTCAGCTCATAGCTCTCAGTCATTCTTTGCCTGGCCTCATGGAATTTCACTTAAGCACGTATGACTTAACATTCAGCAAAATCTGCGGGAGACCGCATGCAGATTTCCGGAGTTTTCTCCTTTGCTGTACTCTGCCGTGCAAATTCCAGCTCGGTCCCGGGAACCTGCTGTGCCTGCTTGGGTTCCTCATCGCTGTACCGCCGTGCGGAAAGGGCCTCCAGGCTCATTTCCTCTACTTTCATTCTCTCAGGATTTCAAAATCCTGCGCTGCCTGTTCCACAATGTCTGAAAACATCTGTTTCGTATATTCTCCCCAGTCTTCTGCTTGATCGTGGCGGGAGGGCTGGTCCAGTCTCACTAACTCCTTTCCAGCAGCCGTAGAAATCCAGCGCAGTGCATCCAGTGCTCAGCCTGGAAGGGAGCGGCAGGGTCGCAGTCACAGGAGGTCATCCAGAGGAAGACGAGCGCTGGGTCTTGATGAATGAGTGGAAGTTCAGGAAAGCGATGGGAGGAAAGGGCTTTTCAGGCCTTTATGAAAAGGCCTGTTTGGAATTACCCAGAATGTGCTGGGGTGCCACTGAGGGATTTAATCAGTAGAGCGATGCTGTTGGATCTACATTCAAGCTATGTTTTTGATGTAGTTCTAAGCTGGGATCATGGTTATCAATCACGGCTGTCTATGTGAATCAAACCGAGGACTTTTTTACAACATATCCATGCCTTGCATTCATCCCAGACCAACTAAGTCAGAATAGGGATCGAAATGGGGACTTGGACTTTTTTTTTTTTAAAGCTCCCTAAATGACTCTACTGGGATCAGCAACAAAGATGATAGACTTATGTGACTGAGGTTACCTGGGCTTGGGGACCACGGAAGTGAAGACTGTCGCTGCCCCAAGAAGAGGCTTCCCTTCTGAGGCTTCCAGAGCTGGTGACTTAGATGCTTAAAATCCTAGACATGTTTGGGTCTCGGTGCAGGAGAGGAACAGCTTCTGGGCAATGTCAGCTCACCTGCTCCTGTCTCTGGACTCCTGAGAGAGGAGCTGCGATGCTTAGTTATCGACAAAGCTGATGACTACAGCTGACCCTTGAACAACACAGGTGTGAACAGCACAGGTCCTCTTATACGGAGATTTTTTTTTTTCAGTTAATACATTCAGTACCATAAATGTATTTTCTCTTCTTAGTGGTTTTCTTAATAATACTTCCTTTTTCTAATTTACTGTAGTATAAGAATGCAGTGTATAATACATGCAAAATATGCGTTATTCGACCGTTTAAGTTATTGGTATGATTTCCCATCAGCGATAGGCTATGAGTAGTTACGTCTTGGGGAGTCAGAAGTTACCTTCAGATTTTTGACTGCGAGGGTCAGTGCCCAGAACCCCCGCCTTATTCACGGGTCAACCGTAGAGTTATTTGGAAGAGCACTGGGTTCTTCTGGTCGTTGATGATGGGGAGCAGTTTGCTCTGACTTACGTATAATCAGAGCTTTGTTGGCCTGTGCAACTAGGAAGAGCTGGGTTGGGTAGGAAAACTACTTTGGTTCTACCTCCCGTGGTGACTTCTCTCTTCCTCTTGGCTTTGTTCGCTCCACTAGACAGGAGCCATGGCCTCAAACACCCTGAAGTTGCTAGAGGGAAAAGGGCTTCTCTCCTGGTTCATTTTTTAAATTCCCCAAAGAAACAGGAATGTTCCTCTGGACAAAGAGAATAATAAGAACATACTAGTGCACAGACTCGGCTTCAGCTATCATAGATTACCCAGCCCTCATGTCTGGTGTGACAGCTGGGAAATCGAGCCTTAGAAATGTTAAGTAATTTGGCTGAAGTCAGATAGGTTGTTAGTGATAGAACTAGGGCTCAACATGCAAGTCGCTGATCCCTAGTCCCTGCTTTTTCTATTGGACAAGGGTATGAGACGGGCAGTCTGCTTATTCAGCCTTAGAAAATAGGGCAGTTCCCTTGTTGTCTTTACTTCCCCCCTTCTTTTTGCATTTATTTTAAAAGAAGCAGTGGGGGCTGGGAACCTGCTTCTTTCTTTCTTCATATGCAAGAGGCATAAGCACAGCAGACACACAGACCAGGGAATTAATGGCAAAAATAAAAGTCCCCTTTACCTTTCTTTCTTATCCCCTGTAAGATGATCATATTTATATTCCTTCCTCTGAAGGGATTGGATTTCTTCAAAGGCAGAGCTACATAAGGCCAGGTGGCCATGCTGATGGTCACCTAGGGAGCTTTTATAAGAGCATATGTATGTCTTACAAATAACGTTTTATTCTTAATATGGCTATCCAGAGCTGGAAAAATCTTTATAGGTCAAAGAACCTCATGAATGTTTAAAAAGCTGTTACCAATTTTTCTAATCTCGGTGGTGTTTCTTGATCTCTTTTGCCATGAAGTCTTGGTATGTGTATAAGGAACAGATGGAGTGGTTAATAGAATAATGATAACCAGAATTTCTTTTACTACAGAGCCAAAGTATATAGCTGCGAAAGAATATTAAACTAGTATTCATTGCAGGATATAATTTAAACTTATTTATCTCAAGTGTTTGATTGTTAGGTTTTTCCAGCCATGTTTATTATGAAAATTAAAAAATATCTGATTGGCCCAGCAGGACAGCTGTAGAAAATTTTCGATCTTAGGAGACCCATTCTCATTATAATAGATATGGATGGTTTTTTTGGTCTTGTTGATGATTTATGACCAATGATATAGAACCTTTAACCATATGAGTCTTTTTAACTTAAAGCACTAAAACTTTCCCTTTCCCTTTCCCCATGTTTTGTCTGACAAGTACCAAATTAGATTTTATAATAATCAGATGTTTAGAGTTGTAGACTTTATTTCATTAAGGCACTGCTAGGTTTTCCTTGTCTTTTTTTTTAAAAGAAATAACGTGAAGAAAAATGTTTTCCTATATCAAGAAAACATTGCCTGAAATCATAGCAGACGTACTTAGAGATTTAAATTCTATAGATATATGTAGTATTTCTGGTATCTGTACAGATGGGTATTTGGAGCTTTGGGGTCATTTTGGATTTTGAATTAGCTGAACGTTTTCAAGGATAAAAAGGTAGAAATGCTGCTCAGACCTTCTGTAACAAAACAGCTTCCCATGGGGGTTCGAAAGTGGTAATGAACCATATGGGCAAGTGCCCAATATGCTTTCCTTGTTGCAATAAAATAATTGGCTCTCTCAGGGAATTGGGCAGTCTCTATTCAGGAATTGCTGAAGCATCCCATGGTATTCAGTATTCAGTGACTTATCCATAAATATTCTATTATGTTTTGGAATGGTCACCCCGCTCCTTTGTCCTTTGTGAAGTAGATATATTGATTGTGCTTTGACCATTTGCCCTTTTATGAAAGTTGTGGATTTTTTGTCTTTCTTTGGTGTCTCCTTACTTATTCTCAGGACGTGACACTTGCTGGCGGGTGTTCTCCAACACAGCAGTGGAAGCTGATTTTTTTCTGATGGTTCTCTTGAGTAGAGACCAATTTGAAGAAGGGCATCCATACTTGAAATCGCATTCAATTCTAACCATTGTGAGGATTTGGGAAATTTACTTACATCTTTCTCCTGTTGTTAAATATTATAATGTTAATATGCTGACATGGGGAACATATGAGAGCAAATGTGGAAGTTGGGTTATTGGAGGTTTTTTAGTAAATCGCCACTAATTTGTATTACATTAGGAGCAAGGCTTGTCAGAAGTAGCCCCCTAAATCCTTTGCAATTTTATTTAATGTAGATTTAAGTCATTTATTTTTGTGACTCTCAAGGACATTCAATAATATAGTACCGAGATAGAAGAGATTTGTATTAATAAGAGTGGACAAAGTCTCTAGATATACATGTCTACAAAAGATATACAAATGATCAACATCACTTGAAAAAATATTCAGCATCATTTATCAAAACCACAGTGAATACTACTTAACGCCCACTGAGATGGCTGTAATTAAAAAGACGAATAATAACAAGTGTTGGTGAGCTTGTGGAAACATGTGAACCCGTATACGCTGCTGGTTGAATGTAAAATGACACAACCGCCTTGGAAAACATTCTGGCAGTTTCAGGTGGTTACACAAGATTATCATGTGACCCAGCAGTCCCACTCCTAGGCATGCACCCAAGAGAAATGAAAACATACGTCCACACAAAAACTTGTACACAAACATTTGCAAGAGCATTATTCACAATAGTCAACAGGTAGAAATAACCCAGATGTCCATCAATTGGTGAATGAATAAAACAAATGTGGTCTATTTACATAATGGAATAGCGTTTGGCCATGAAAAAAATGAAGTACTGATTCATGCTACAACATAGGTGAACCTCAAAAACATTATACTAAGTGAAATAAACCAGACACAAAATACCACATATTATGTGATTCAATTTATATAATTGTCCAGAATAGGCATAGCTATGGAAACGGAAAGTAGATTAGTGGTTACTTAGGGCTAGGAGGGGTAAGGGGAGCGGGTGATAGCCAAAGCCTACAGTTTTCTTTGTAGGCGGTGATGAAAATATTTTGAAATTATTGTGGTGATGAGAACACAACTCTATGAATATACTAAAAGCCATTGAGTTATACACTTTATTTTTTGTTTATTTATTTTTATGACTACAGCACCTGGTATTCCTAGGTGGTCTCCCATCCAAGTACTAACCAGGCCCGACCCTGCTTAGCTTCTGAGATCAGATGAGATCGAGCACATTCAGGGTGGCATGGCCGTAGACGAGTTATACACTTAAATTGGTGAATTGTATAGTATGTCCATTACATCTCAATAAAGCTGCTATAAAAACATAACCAATAGAAATACTTTACATGACAAATATTTATATAAACACATATCATTACATTAGATTATCAGTTGAAACTAAATTAGTGTATTTTATTGTCATGTAATTTTTCAATGAAAATAAAGACTTTTAGAGCGCCTGAAAATTTTTATGAGAAATAGTTAAACTGTCTCCCTCTTAACCTGGTATATCAGGAAAGCATTTTATTCATAACGAACACAAAGGTAAATTTTAAAACTACATCAGGGCCGATTATGAAAAATTCTGAACATGAAATCTCAATTTATCAGATTCTGTACTCTATGGCATTCCTCTTTTTTGGCTTGATCGTGTTTTTTTTTTTTATTTTTTTTTCTTATAGTCTTATTAAAGCAATAAGAAACTTAAACTCAGACATATAATGATTGGTTGATATGGTGACATGCGATACAAGAGTCACAGTAAAGGGTAGGAATTTTAATCAACTAAAAGCACATTAGTTAAAATTTGAAACATCATCTTCAGAAGGTGTGAAGGAAGGGAAAAAGTTAAACAGGGTATTATCCCTCTCCCACTACACCAGAATTAGATTGGTAACCTTCCATAGGAAAAAAGTCCCTTGCAGAAAAATTCCATAAAAGTAGGCAATTAAAGAAAATGTAAGCAGTCAAGTCAAACCGACTTGGAAAGATTAATGGAAATACCTTGCAACAGTGAACTTTGCTGTATAAATTGACCTTTATTAATGACGTATCTGAATGTGGTGCTATATTTAATGACCAGGTTGTCTCTTCTCTCGTTTCACCTAGTAACCGATTTCTTAAAAGGATCATCAATAGATGTGATCTCTGATGTAGAATTATAATCACAGAGGCCTTGGCTTGCATATTCCAACACTGTATTGAACATTGGTCTGTCTCTCATTATATGGAGCCACTGGACAGGAAGCCTTTATCAACTGTCACTTCAGCTAGTCCCTCGACCCCAGTCAAGACTTCACAAAAAATATTAAATAGCTCCAAATATTAAATATTAGATAGCTCCAAATATTAAATAGCTCCAAGTATACTCCAAGTATTAAATAGCTCTGAGCTGGAAGAATCCATTTATATGTGAATAGTCCATTCCAGTCCCCTCTCCAGTTCCACTCTCTTCTAAATCAATAGCATCTTCCTCTTCCTCACATAAAGACTCACTCATGTCCGAAGTGGTGCTGAGCTCAGCGGACACAACAGTGACGAAACAGTCACTGCCCACCCTCACGGAGGAAGTCTCCACTTGTCCCCTTATTCTGAAGATTATTAATATACTAGAAATAATGACCTGAATTATTTTACCGCCTTGGCTTATAAAATAAGACATATGAAAAGAACAGTCCTCGGCTCTGCTCCGTAACCTTTTCGTTGTGGCCGCAGGCTACGGCGGGTTTCAGGACCATCCCCGCGAGGAGGAGCACAGAAGCTACGCCGCGTACACAGCCGGACTGAGCGAGGAGGAGCAGCTGGAGAGAGCGGTCCGAGCCAGCCTCCGGGACCAAGGTGGGAATTTTGCGCCCGTCACTTACTTTAAAACAGACTTCACGTGGTGAGATGGTCTGCAAAAGCACTGTTTGTAGCAAATCAGACTTTCCATAGTTTGTTTTAAAAAAGGATAACTAGATGAAAAAACGATGTGCCGATTGTGATTACCAAGAACGGGGTGTGATGCCATGTCCCCAGCGACCTGGGCTAACGAGGTGCCAGACTGTATGTATCGTTAAAGCAGTTCTTTTTATAGGCCCGCCGCGCTCAGTGCTTTGGCGTTAAGGTCGAGAAACTTTAAAAGAATCCCCAGGCACTTGAAAAAAGGCTCTATGTCATTAGGTATCAGTGTCGCCCGTGAACCTTCCTGAAAATCACATGGACAGCTTGATAAGAATTCAAACTCAGGGTTCCACCCAGACCTCCTGGACCAATCTCTGCGGGCAGAGCCTAGGAATTTGGATTTTTAACTGACATTCCCCAAAATTCCTTTACAAACAGATATATGAAAATTACTACATTTATTTTACCATCTTTGTTCTGGATTTTGCTGATAAGTTTGGATGTTACTGTTTTACTGTGTTAGTAGTGACTAAAAATGACCTATTCATTCAGAAAGCGTTTATCAAGGTCGTATTGTTTCATGCACTGTGTTCGGGACAATGGGGACTGCAGAGAGGCAAAAGATAGAATCTGCCCTCCAAAAGGTCACAGTCATAAAGGTAGGGGGTGCCTGCTAGATGCCCTAACATGCAAGGAATCATAAAATCAGATGCGTAAGAGAGACTCAAGCTAAGTGCTGGAGGCCGTGAGACGGGGTGAGTGTTTCTTAACCAGAGCTGTCGGAGTTTCACAGAGGAGGCAGCGTTTGAGTGGGTCCTTTTAAAATGTGTAGGGTTTGCAGTGGTTTGGAAGGGCCTTCCAGGCAGGAGTCAGCATCTGCACAGATGCAGAAGTCAGGGGCGTGGTCAGCCAGCCCCCACTTTTGAACGGAGCTTTAAGAGGAGAAGGGGGAGAAGAGTGGGAAGCGAGCCTGGGGCACGATCACGGCAGCCCTAGAATTAAGTAGGCCACATAGAAAGTGGACCGGCATCTGGCGTGAAGGCCAGTGGAGTCCCGCACGGGGGATGCGATCGAGCTATGGTTTAAGAATTCAGCAGCAGCCGTTCCTCCAACAAGGACCGAGCAGCCTGGGAGGTACCAGGCATCATGCTAGACAATGGGACACATAAATGACGACCGCTCAGTTTCTGACTTCAGTGAATACAGTCTGAGCAGCAGCATTGTGCATGGAGGTGGGGAATGACAGCAAGAGAGGGGACGAGGCGGAAGATGGTTGCAGTATGAACGAGAAATGGAAGCCTGCCTTATGATGGTGGCAAAGGGAAGGGGTCAGGAAGGAATAAATCCGCATTTCTCACGTGAAGAGTATCAGAACTGTGGTGTATCAGTCATCTAATACAGAATAACAAATCACTGCGACACACGTGGCTTAAAACAATAAGCATGGCTTCTTGCTCTTGAGTGTGTGAGTCAGCTGGGTCAGGCTTATGTGGTCTTGGCTGGTATGCACAGGGGCCTGCAGTGGTCGGTCAGCTGGGCCTGGCTGCTCTAGGATGGCCTCATTCACATGTCTGACTGCTGTCCGAGGAGATGGTGATCAGACCACATGTCACTCCTCACCCAGGAAGCTGGCCCAGGCTCAGTCACCTGGCCTCAGTGCACAGGCTCCAAGAGAGTGTGGAAACGAGCAAGGATTATGCTGACACATCGTCAGTTCCTCTGTGTCTTAACTACTGAAAGAAACGAGGACCAGTTTGGATCCGTGGGATGGGGAAATAGACCCCACCGCTTCACGGGATAAGCTGCAGAGTCACATTGCAAAGGGCGTGGGTGGAGGACAGGTGGAGAATCGTGGCCGTTCTCCTAGTCACTACATCACAGGTTGTCGGTGGACTGCGATATCGTAGTCACTCGACGCACGCCTCGGCATCCTGACCTCGGGCAGTAGGGGCCCAGAGCCTGTGTTTTAACAGATTCTCGTGGCTATTCCTATTCACACAGGAGTTTAATCACTTTCAGGCGAGACATGAAATACCATGAGACAGGTGGCAGGTCAAGGCAAAGCTACTCAGGGTGGACTTTGTACAAATTTTATTTAGAACCGCAAAAGAACAGTGCTAGGGAATTTTTTGAAGTGATGAATCTGTTCTGTATCTAGATCGTAGTAGATACACGATGCTTTGTATTTGTCAAAACTCATATAACTCTGTACACCACAAAGAGTACATTTTACTATAAAGGAATTTTAAAAGAAGTAAATAAAAATTAATGAGAAACCCAGTGAAATAAACGATAGTCTTGTAAAGATCACCAAAGATCATCAGAAAGTCATTGAGAAACAGAATAGTCACACAGTGATATAATATCAGGCCAGAGAAGACATGCTACTAGCAAAGGAAAAATGTACCTTGGCAACAGAGAGATTTGGCCGTCACCACTGGAACTCAGTGATCAAAATCGCGGTATTAGTGGGATGACCCGACAGTGTACATTTCCTGACATGATGCATTATGAGAAACACAGTACCATCTATGACATATTCTTGCTAAAACTGTTTACCCTGGCTCTAAGACTTTAAATATAAGTGTTGTTATACAGAAAATACATTGAATAAGGGAACAAGCTGAATCACACTAGACAGAAATGACCAGATGAAATGTAGCATTTCTACAATTCAATGAAACTAAGTCTCCTGGGGAAAAATAAAATAAAATAAAATGAAATAAATATATATATGAAGCAGAATGTGGTTTTATAGTAAAGGGAAATAACCAAATATAATGTAAGAACCTCAAAAAACTGGCCATAAAAGACATTTTTTGAGAAAACTTGGAGAATTTTGTATTTGAACTAGATCAGATGTTATTAGGGAAATAACCTAAGCTAACTTCCTTTGACGAGATAACGGTATTGCAGGTAAGTAGCAGAATGTCCCTTATTCTCGGGAGGTGCACATCGACGTATTCAGAAGCAAAATAATACAGAGTCTGCAACCTGCTCTCACGGGCCACCCGAAACAGCTCTCCCCTCTCTCCCCTTTCCTCTTCCTCTCGTCCTCACGCTCGCCTCCACAAATTCTGCGTTCAGGTAAATCTGGGCAACACCGCACATGACACCCCTCGAAGGTCCAGAACGACCCAGGCAGGCTGAAGATTCTCATTAGCTCCGCAGTCGAGAAACCAGTTTATGAAATTAATGCTTCCCAAACGTGTTTGACCATGGAACTTTCGTTTTCAGCGAATGATTTTAAGGGCATGTGAAACGAGTTCCTAGGAAAGCGATGGGAAGATTCTTCTTGAACTGCGTGATGAGGTCATTGGTGACCGCAAAGGAAGTAGCTGTGCAAACGGCTTACGTTTATTTCAGTTTTGTTTTCCTTGAAAAACACTTCGTGATCGTCTTATTAAGAATAAGAAACCAAGGAGACATTTTAAAAAGGCCTTTATGAGTTTTTAGCCTTTGTTTCTATGGAGAAATATTTGGTTTGAGTTTAGTTTATAAAATTCTGACCACTTAGCACGGACTGTTTTGTACTTTACTTTTTTTCAATTGGTATTATGTTTGTAATCATATTTTCACACCACTCAATTTTTGAACATATAAATCCTCCATATATATTCTTCAATTTACACCTAAATATCTTCCTTCCTTCCTTCCTTCCTTCCTTCCTGCCTTTCTTTCTTTCTTTCTTTCTTTCTTTCTTTCTTTCTTTCTTTCTTTCTTTCTTTTCCTTCCTTCCTTCCTTCCTTCCTTCCTTCCTTCCTTCCTTCCTTCCTTCTTTCTTTTTTCTTTCTTTCTGGAGTAAGACATATGCTATTATAAATAGTGCTTGTAAAAAATTCTGTATTTGTTGAGATTATTATATACTTTTTCTTCTATAGCCCGTTGGCATACTATATCATTTTGGTTTTCAAAGGTGAAGCAGGTTTGTGTCCCCAAGATACATCTTACCTGGTTCTGATAGTTTATGGTCCATCCTGGTGAAAATGCCGTGTGTACCTGGAAAGATAGTGAATTCTGCTCTGTTTGGGCGGCTTGTTCAACAAATGTGGATTAAATTAACACAGTTGATAATGTTGCTCAGATTTTCTGTATCCCTACCGATTTGTCTGTGTATTCTATTGAACCCTGTATTTTGAATTACCAGAATTACTGTAATGTTGCATACTTAATGTACCCATAGTACGCCAAAGGCTTCCTGTTCCTCTAGCGTTACTTAGTTTTTTGGGTGGAGGCTGATTGGCCAGAGAGTTTTTCCCACTGTCTGCTTGAACTTCAATTTCGGGTCCTTTGCACCAGAACTTGGGTGGGTTCTCTGTTCATTTTCTTGTCCCTTTCGCCATGGTATGCTGCTGTTTCTCGTTGCTCAGTGCATTTTATTCTGCTGGCAGGAGGCGAGGAGGGGGTATGCCCTGAGTTTTTTTCTCATCCAATATTTATATTCTTTTTATATAGAGTACGCTAAAGTTTTAAAAAAATTTTAATCATAGGTGCCATGCAATATTCTATTAGTTTCAGGTGTACAACATAGTGGTTCAACAGTAAGCTTTAGTCTCAGGCCATCAGTGTGTCCCCTGGTTTGGAGTTGTGGCCTTCTCAGTGTTCCCGTTCCCTTCTCAAGTTTGGGGATTTTTTGTTTGTTTGCTTGTTTTGTTTTTGTTTTGTTTTCGTTTTGCCTTTCTCCCAGGCATTTAAGGCTTTTGTTCCATCGGGATGACAGGGGAGAGGGATCTCGGCAGCCTTTCATACAAACCTTCCCTGCAGTGGCTGCCGTCCTGTTCCCGGGACCGCACCAGGAATGCAAAGGACACTTTCTCCAGACTCTCACCTGTCTCTTTTGTGAGGGCCACCTGAGGTCCTGAGAACAGCTCAGAGCGTATGTGAATTCCTTTGCATCGCCGCCCCCAGTGTATTCTGTTGCATAGTCTGTGGTGTGTTCTGTGTTCTCCTGTTAG